GGCGTTGGCTCGGGCTCGCGTGTTATGTTTAGCGAGCTCACTATTTTGAGAACCAAGTTTCAGGCTCGCTAGATTGCACGAGCGAGTGAGGCATTTTTTGTACTGTTGGGCTATTTAGTCTCATTTAAGTTAGTCCCTCCTTTCACCAAACATGGGTTTTAAGTGCTAATTAACATAGTCCAGTCCAGTGAGGCCTACCAAACATGTCCTTATTGGATTGTTTTCCCTGGTACATAGCTATGAATGTGCGTGCATTATTTGTATAAAAGGGGTTTTTGAGATCAAACAGGTTTTTAAATCAGCCATGCGTTAAAAAGGGTTTTACATGCATGGCTCGGGCTATTGTTTTTATATTAAAAAAAAGGGCGGGGGTTAGTTTGTTGTTTTATTTATGTTTAAATCTAATTTTTTTTGTCCACTCACATATTTTATGGTTTTGCCCCCCCTCCCCCTAGGCTGTGACTTGAAGAGACTTACAGGCAAGACCAGAATCTCCTTCTCCACACAACTGTCGTCACAGTAGGATTTTTGTTTCGTGACTTTTCGTATGTTTTTTACTTGCAAACTAACTAAATTCGTAGTATGCTCCGAATACACCCATGTAGGGTTTGTTTTGTGGCCAGAGGCTATTTGTAAACTGTGTACGCTTTAAATTGTGTGTGTTGGCACTTGGGAACTTTATTTGTGCTTTTATTGCAGGTGTAAATTTTGGTAATGTTCGTTTTTTAGGGGAGACTTTGCTGAAATTTCGGTAGAAGTCTTGACCCTTATGCTTCTCTACCTTTTGTTTTAGTAAATGGGCCCGGCATCCTACGGGTGTCGGAAGGGTAGCAGGATTTGGCAAGGATTCCAAGGGGAGTTCGGGTTAGGTCTTGTCACTAAGGTAGGAGGAAGAGAGGAAGATATTGCCCTAGTGCTGGTGTCGATAATATATCCACCATCCCGTTTACAGTAGTATAATTTGGAGCGGTTGAAAATTCATACAACCTCAAAGCAATAATCCCTACCCTCATAGAACTTGGCAACAAGTTCAACAACTACTGGCGCTTCGTGTTTGAATTTCACCTCATAGATTGCATTAGTGTATGCACCCTCATCACCAGAAACATAAATATACACATCTAGCTTCCTCCTGATTTGCCGCCATTAATGCTGGCTCCCTGTCCATGGTCAAGTTTGGGTAAATAATAATGGCCTCATGGTTGGGGCTGTTGTCAAACGCTGTTGTTTCGGGTCGATTGCGGCGTAGTAAGCGAAGCTCTCCATCATTGATTTCTTCAAATCGACCACTTGGGTTTGCTGAGTAGAAAGTGCGGTTACAGATTTCTTGATTTCCAATAGCTGGCCCAGAGAGTTCTCCATCTCCGATAACTTGTGCAGGAGTTCATCTTGGCATGAAGCCATCGTCGTCAAGGTATGGTCCTGATGAATGTCTTGACCTGAGGTGAGCTCAATGGCTGTGGTGGCGAAAGGTTGAGATATATTCCAATTCCCCATGATACCAAATGATCCTAAACTTTAGGATTTGATAGGTATGATATGAAAGTTTGGAACCCGTGGGAAATTCTAGAAATATATCAAGATAGAAGACTGTTGACGTCCAAAATTGGATTCAACTTAGATAGGAGAAGTGCGGAGTCTTCAATAAGGGGTTGGAAGGAGTGAACCTTCGATAAGGGAACCTTCAGCAGGGAGGAGACCTGCAGAGGTGGGATAGAAGAAACAATCGTCAAGCTTCGGGCACATGTGTAGTGCTAGCCGAAGGCTCTCTGATGCTTAAGTCAACAAGAATGGGGAAATCGGTAATTTTGGCATAGTAACAGTAAGGATGAAAAATAGTTACCTTTTTACTTGGGTATTATTCCTCTTCTATAGAGAAATGAAAGTGGGAGAATGTGAGACTTTGTACAAATCATTGTGGTGGAGACACATGTCGAAGGCTTAGGTTATATAGTTGAGAGCTTCGGCAACCGCTTTTGGTAGGCAATTGCCGCATTTGAGGTAGGTATCTCTTCGGCAGGTTGGGATCATGATGATGTCATCAGTGTTTTGGGGATTGCCCTGGAAGTGTTTTTCCTTTGGCAGGCGGTGGGTTTGTCTATGCGTTAGTCCCCCAATAACGAATGTGCTCGGTTGATTATGGTACAAGCAAAGCGCAGATACTTGCTCTCATTAATCTATGAAGTCTGAATTACAAAGCGTGTATTTACATAATGAGCTACTTAATCTTGCTAGAAACAAGAAACCTTATTATTAATTTTTTTATAGGAAGAAACAGGAAACTTATGACGCTGCTGTTCTTCATACCTGTGAAAAGGCTCTATTTCATAAGTTCATTTGTATAATTAGTCTCAAGTGTACTTTTTAATATTCTAGTTGCAAAATTTATTAGGCGATCTGCTGAAAAAGTTGATCTTCAAAGAAACTGGTTCATTTTGGCCCTGAGCATCAGCATAGTCGTTATAAGGGCCAACAGTGAAATTTTACCGAAACTTCAAGAATACAAAGTGTAATTAATCCCAGAAAAATGTCACAATTATGATTAAAAATAAGCTCTGGAAAGGAGAAAAAATGGTACTAGCTTCTTCAAATTTACGAGACATGGCTTATAGCTTAACATGATTTGGAAATTAAGATTTCAAAAGGTACACATTGTTCAACAGCACATTTTCTTTGGCAAAAAAAAAATTGTCATCAATCACGTGCTCTGTAAATTATAAACAATACTTTCTCCCAAGAATGTACTGAATTCAAAGATAAACAATTTGAAGTCGTAAATCTATTGTTTTCAAGTTGATATATTTATAGACTATACAGACTGGGGATTAAGGCACCCCCTCTAACCTTTCTATGACTACATCCACTATGACATATACACAGCTTATTGTAACATGCATGGGTTTTATATTATATAGGTCATATCTTCTCTTCGCCTACTTCGGAACTTTTACAATGGCCACCATGCACACCAGAAAGCTGTACTTCTTAAAGGACTACCGAAGCAGCCTAGCCAGAAGACAGTGATTTCCATTGTGTGTGTTGAAGTGAACTAATATTGGAAAGGAAATAGGCAATAGAAGTACATGACCTCATTGAAGTAAAACCCATAAAGCTAGTGAAAGAAAGCCTATAATACTATAAAAGCAGACTCAAAATTTACCCTAGAGTTGAGTAACCTCCATCTGTTATATGCCCCCTGCCAAGAAACAATTGCTACTGCCAGAACTACCAACACCAAAAGGTGTATCACGGACCATGAACTTCACACTACGTGTCCCAATGTCATCCAATATTTCAAGGCACTCCCGCAAATCTGCATCGCTCACTAGCATCACCCATTCCTCTTCATCGTCCAAATACTTGAGCTGGAATGTCCCATTTTGCAACTTCAGCCTCTTCGCAACCTCTTCATATAGTTGAAAGCACCCAACAGAAGGGTCAAACTTGAACCTGATCGTATCTTCTTTATAAGTAGCTTTCACAATTATTTTTGACCCATTCTCAACACTGCTTGCGTTCATGTTTGGTTGCTTTTGCTCCTCAAAGCTCTGAGAACTTGATGAGCGCAGAGTTGAACCAGAGCAATTCGATGAATCTGTCAAGCTCGAAGAAGTATGCTGGTTATATTCAACAATCCCATCATCCCCGTCGACTCCCGTGTCCATATCATCAGCAGCAGCCAAGGAGCTTGAGCTTTGAGACACAAAGTGACAGTCAGAATTCTCTAATTTTAGACTGTTCTTGCTGTGACCCCATTTATTTCCTTCTATTGCAATTGGCTTGGAGTCCCTTTGAGGCATAAGAGGGATATTCTGTTTCTTTACCCCTTCCTCGTGAGAAGTTGGAATACAACACCCATCCTCTTCCAACTTAATTGCAAAACTCTCACCATTATTGCAAGACACTGAAGGTACTGGAACTGGATCTTGGGTAACTAGCTCAGAATTTTGAACAGGCAGGCTCTTCTCAGGGAATAAACGACTTTTCTGAGCATCAAATTCTTGGATGATGGACCCTGTTGCCACAAACCCACCAGTAGTTGGGTCATACTTCAATCCTCCCTCAACCCCCTGAACAGAATCAAGCACAGTTTGTATTTTCTTCAATGAACGGTTCACCTTATTTATTTTACGAGATGGCCATCTAGAGATCCCATGTTGTCTGCAGATCCTCTTTAGCGTAGTGGGGCAGACTACCAAAATAAAAAAAATTAATTTTAAAAATCATTTCAAATAGATTTGCAAGAATTATACTTAATAATAAAATGATAATTTGCATGACGACTTGATAGTAAGGTTTTGCAAATGAATATTACTAAATTTCTCTAAGGTACTTGGCATAGATAGATAAGAGAGGTATAACTGTTTCATATCCAAATACATACATCTTTTTTTAATAGGATGGAAATATCAATATTAAATACAGATAACATACACCCTGATCAATAACCAATACTTCATAAACATGAAGATACTTAGAAATTATAATTTTAACACTTGGAACACTATCAGATCAATCTCCAGTTTTCCTATAGAAATTTAAGATATATATATTAAACCAATTTAGTAAGAGAAAAATTTATATCTATATAAGTAAAAAGACATGATAAGTTTATGGCATGCATTTTCACTACTGTTTAACTTAGCATCAAGCAAGGGGCTTGTAGCTGAGGTGATTATGAGCATTTACCCCTGCACCCATGGTCCTGGGTTCGATTCCCCTTCCCCCAATGTTGAAAGCACCCAACAGAAGGGTCAAACTTGAACCTGATCGTATCTTCTTTATAAGTAGCTTTCACAATTATTTTTGACCCATTCTCAACACTGCTTGCGTTCATGTTTGGTTGCTTTTGCTCCTCAAAGCTCTGAGAACTTGATGAGCGCAGAGTTGAACCAGAGCAATTCGATGAATCTGTCAAGCTCGAAGAAGTATGCTGGTTATATTCAACAATCCCATCATCCCCATCGACTCCCGTGTCCATATCATCAGCAGCAGCCAAGGAGCTTGAGCTTTGAGACACAAAGTGACAGTCAGAATTCTCTAATTTTAGACTGTTCTTGCTGTGACCCCATTTATTTCCTTCTATTGCAATTGGCTTGGAGTCCCTTTGAGGCATAAGAGGGATATTCTGTTTCTTTACCCCTTCCTCGTGAGAAGTTGGAATACAACACCCATCCTCTTCCAACTTAATTGCAAAACTCTCACCATTATTGCAAGACACTGAAGGTACTGGAACTGGATCTTGGGTAACTAGCTCAGAATTTTGAACAGGCAGGCTCTTCTCAGGGAATAAACGACTTTTCTGAGCATCAAATTCTTGGATGATGGACCCTGTTGCCACAAACCCACCAGTAGTTGGGTCATACTTCAATCCTCCCTCAACCCCCTGAACAGAATCAAGCACAGTTTGTATTTTCTTCAATGAACGGTTCACCTTATTTATTTTACGAGATGGCCATCTAGAGATCCCATGTTGTCTGCAGATCCTCTTTAGCGTAGTGGGGCAGACTACCAAAATAAAAAAAATTAATTTTAAAAATCATTTCAAATAGATTTGCAAGAATTATACTTAATAATAAAATGATAATTTGCATGACGACTTGATAGTAAGGTTTTGCAAATGAATATTACTAAATTTCTCTAAGGTACTTGGCATAGATAGATAAGAGAGGTATAACTGTTTCATATCCAAATACATACATCTTTTTTTAATAGGATGGAAATATCAATATTAAATACAGATAACATACACCCTGATCAATAACCAATACTTCATAAACATGAAGATACTTAGAAATTATAATTTTAACACTTGGAACACTATGAGATCAATCTCCAGTTTTCCTATAGAAATTTAAGATATATATATTAAACCAATTTAGTAAGAGAAAAATTTATATCTATATAAGTAAAAAGACATGATAAGTTTATGGCATGCATTTTCACTACTGTTTAACTTAGCATCAAGCAAGGGGCTTGTAGCTGAGGTGATTATGAGCATTTACCCCTGCACCCATGGTCCTGGGTTCGATTCCCCTTCCCCCAATATCACTTGTATACAAAAAAACTTGTTATTAAACTATTGTCACAACTGTCGAGAAAATAATATATATATCTCAGATGAATCTTTTCTAAGAGTGACCTCTCTCTCTCTCTCTCTCTCTCTCTCTCTCTCTCTCTCTCTCTAATGTTTTATTTATCCATCTCTCTACTCTTTATGGCATACATTTCAGTATTGTTTACCCAATGTTATATCATTAAGTGAAGCACCAGATGAATCTTTTCTATATAGGGTCTGACTAGACATTAGCATATAGGAGATACAAGATTCTAGAAGAAAGCATGAATGAAAGAAACATAGGCTCCATCTGTACCTTATTACAAATAAATTAATAATTATTTAAAAAATTATGTTTTTTAATCAATTCCTAAAGATAAATTCTCAGATGGATTCTAGAACATTTATAATCTGCTTTTATGCTTAGCTATTAAAATATCAAATCCCACAATAAGTAGATTCATTATACTTATATATGAGACACACAAGAGATGAAGTCTCACCCCCAATGCTCTTAGCAGCATCCTTGAGACTCCCAGAGAAGTATTGCTGTAGAACACTCAAGCTCACATTTTTCTCCGCTGTACTTCGCTTTTTCTCCATCTGCCTTCTTGATCCAGGTGCCTACAATGCATATAAGCAGTCATTCCCCCAACCACATTCCTCAGGTGAAGAGTCAGCAGCAAAAGTTTATAATATTGCAACGAAACTTTCCAGGTAAGCATAGATAACCCTTGGCAGTGCTTCCATATTTAAGGAAGCATTTGCATGGAGATATTTAATTTCAGATTTCTTTAAGGTATGAGCCAGCAGTAAGAGACGTAAGGATAATGTGATCATAAATGACCATGTCTAGAAAGTTCTATCAATCTTATATTTGTATACTCTTCACAGCAACAGTAATAATAATTCCTGTCTGAAAGAGAGTGTGATGACAAAGTGTGTCTCAAGGAAGACTTCCACATAAATGTATTACCTATTATCAGAGTGGAGACTAAGCTACACTTACAATGGTCAAGCCAGAATCCCAAACCCTTAAAGGTACCAAAAAGATAATTATCTTCGTATTACACCTTCCAGATTCTCAAGAATTTATTTCAGACAGTAAATTTAAATACAGCAATCTTATTAAAAGGGGGATAACAACCTTATGGTTTCTTGGTTCTACAATGCTTGCATAGTTCAGCCATTGAGAGTTATTTCAAACTACATCCTTATAATTTTTACAATAAAACTCTAAGCATAAATGGACAGTAAACTTCCTCCTTTCTCTCTTTAACCTTCCTTTTTCAAAATCTCAAATCAAGACTAACTAAAACACAATCACACAAGAAACGCAGGCATACAGGACAAAAAAGAAAAAATAGCCATATTAACTATCAAACTACACACCAGAGACAGTAAAAACAAACCAACCTTCCCACCCAAGAAACTTGTGCCAGTAACTAACAAAAACACAATGAGACATACAGATATGCTGTCATTGCTTCACATTACAAAAATTATAAAGTTCTCTGAAGAAACTGAGACAGGTGTATTATCTAATAATGTTCTTTTATGAAAGCAATACCTGTTCACGGGGATTCTCTGCTTCGATTCCCCCATTTCTTCTATTTAATACATCGGACGGCATATTCTCCATTGAATTAAATTCACTATCTGATGATGTTGTCTGAGAATTTCTCTGTTGTGGGATATTGGGGATTGGCCCTTTCTGAACCCCAGTGTTGCAGCCTTGTACCCCAGCTAATTCTGCATCTGAAACTGTCCTTAAACTCTTACACATTTTCTGCATGGTACCTGAAAGGTTGTTTAACAACAGTTGCTGTTCTGAGCTCCCCTTCACATTGACAGGGAGAAAAAACTCTAATATATAGTCATCATCACCAGTGTAGGTGCTCCTTAGTCTGATTGCAACAGCGGCATTCAAACCATACTTGCGTGCATGATGAACAAGTGGATATTCATAAATATCATACACCTTAACATCATGAAGAAAGAAGGGATGATTTGATTGAAGTGCTTTCCCAGCAATTCCTTCCCCTTCCTCAAGATGATGTTCTACACATGCATGCACAAAGCCTTGCATCGTTCTATCATTTACATAACAAGCTGTTTCCTCAATGCATAGAATGGATTTCTCATTTGAATTTGTAATACCCCCTCTTACACGTACTCTTCTAATTTCATCACCATCACCCTCAGAGTAGCAACAAGGAATCCAGGTTAGAGCCAATGGCAATATATGTGCATGGCAAACAGCTCGTAAGACATCAGTTATTTCAGCTAAAGCAGCTCTTTGGTTCATTGAGAGGCACTGCAAGCAATAGATTACCTTGTAAGAAGTGCAGAAAATTTTAACAAGGAAAACAATACTACAAATTTTGTTCCTCAAAAAAAAATTATTTTTCTTTGGGTTGTAATGGAGATAAGATTTTGACAAATGGGCAAGAAACAATACTCTGCTTGTACCTGGGGAAGAAGTCGAGGAGGCACCGTGGTCCTTAAATTCACAGCCTGCAAAAAATTGTCATCAAAATAGATTCCATTGTCATACTTAATATTCACAATAACAATAATACATGTAAAGCATATAGGTAGTGCAATTTGTACAGGATCTTGGGAAGCACCCTCACAAGAATTAGTAATGGTGCTGCATCATAAGCATTGAGACACCTGTGCAGAAATCTGGAGGTGTCTTAGGTAGTCTAACAACAATTGACGCAGTTCCAATGGAAAATGAAGTGAAACAAATTCTGCACATTCCTACTCTAGTATTTATTGTTTTGATTAATATAAATACCCACACCAGCATGACGATTAAAATTGAGAGGTATAGCAACTTTCCGACTATTTAATAATATTTGGCATCTAAAAATGAAATATGACGTAAAAACAACATACAGATCCTAAAAACACATTTAGACTCTTATCTAATGCTTGATATCTTTTCCTGAGAACCTAACACCATGCATGCAATAGAAAGTAAAAAAGGGGGACAACTTTTAACCAGAAATTTTTCCTTCACTCCCCTTAGTGGGTTGAACGGTTTCTATGAACCTTTAGGGAACTTGTGGGAAGATCTTATACCAGAAATTTTTTTTCCAACATCTACTAATTTTACAAATTTGAACCTACAAAGTTTGGATAAAGAGGCACATAAACACACACACACACAAAAAACAGGATTCGGATTTACCATTACTAAAGAAGAAGGGAGGCAGAGAGAGAGAAGATTTCTTGTTACATACACATAGAGAGAGAAACTGACCTGTAGTGCATTGCAAACTATTTCCATCTCTGCATCAAAATTGGGTTTCTCTTTTGTACTGACAAGCTCCAACACAGCACAGCATGACATTTCAGAGTCAAAATTGAAAACTGGTAAGGCAATTGATCCACGGACTTGATGATTAACTGCATGATCCACCCGCAGGTACTCAGCCTTATTGTAATAACTAACATTTGAAGTCCACTCTGGAACTTTGGAGACAAATACACGCCCAGGAAGCCCCAGGACAGAACCCTGTTTTTCTTCTGCAGAGAATGTAAACGTCCTTGACACTTCACGATACCCTGCGAGAATATGGTCAAGCAAATAGGGTTGCTCACAAGTGCTTAACAAGTAGTGATCACCATACTTCATGGGAACCCATAATTGCGCCAAAATACCCCCACCAGAAGACTCTTTAAACAACGACAGTGCCTTAAGCATTTTCTCATTAAGTGACAATCCAGGTGGCCTAGAGATCATATATTTCCCCACTTCCATGACATTATTCTGTTGAAAAGAACCATTATTTAGCTTGGCAGCCAAGTCATTAGCATCGTGGGAATCAGTTGAAACCCCGAATTGGGGGGTGTCCATTTGCTGAAACACAATTTTGTCTTCACCACTGAAAGAACTTTCCCCCACATTAAAAGTTTCGCCACCTTCTGTCCCAGGCAATGCCCCACCATTCTGTTCTGCAAAGTTCAAGGCGTCCAAAGGCACATAGGTCACTGATGGACATGATGGCACACCAAAAGAGGCTGAAATCTGATCCATTGCTGCTGGACTGCACCATCCAGCATAAGTATCAAAATTCATAAGCTCAGAAATGTTATTAAACATATCCTCTGAAATCGAGTTCCTTGTTCCAACATCAAGTGATCCCAAATTCTCCACCTGAGCTCTGGAAGATGCCCAATGATCACTCCCTTTCTCTTTAGGTGAAAAGGGGTATTCCATATTCAGGTTAAAATCCACTTCCAGATAAAATATACCACTGTTATTGCTCCACCAAATAACTGCTGCTCAAAACAATCCTTCTTTCCCAATCATCTTCCTCTACAGGCAGACCACTTTCAGCGTTCATCATTTAACTGGCCTTCCACTTTCGACAAGCAAATCCAAGAGCTCTAGAACCAAAATAAAAACCCCAATTCAACAACATAACACTAAAACTCTGTCCACTCAATCAGCAAAGAAAACCTGCACTCCCCACAACACAAAATTACATTTCTCACTTTATCCCCATATGGAAAAATACAATATTATTCAACATTCAATCACTCCCCAACCACAACCACGTGAAATTCAGCTGTAACAATTACTTCTCTCAGCTTTCTATAAATAGCAATAAAAGAAATCACAGAAACTGACCTCAAAGCGATAATATCAACTCCGCCGACGCTGAAACCGCCGAAAATTGCTGAAGCAAAACGCCAAAGCTTTCAATCAGCAACAACACAGAAACCCCTTCAGATTCGGCTTTTCTGGTGCTCACAAATATGTGAGGCTCTGTCTCTATGTGTGTATTTATATCTGTATATGCCAAAAACTGCCGAAATAAAACCAAATTGCACTGAAATTCATGAGCAAATCCAGAGCTCCTACTTCAAGACCCAAAATTGTAACTTTCCGAGCATCCCCCCAAATTAAATATCCAAAGAAACCTCACGAACGCCCTAGAGAAACTCGGCCAGTCCGTGTTAAATTCCAAGGACTCGAGAGTAAGAGAAAGCGAGTGACTCAGAGAGAGAGACAGAAAGGGGAAGAGGCCTGAAATACTAAAAAAGGAAACCCTAGGTGGTGTTAGAGGGTGGAGTTAACGGCTTTGAACGGTTGCATCATAGAATTGTCGTTGTTTAGTTACTAAAGATAGAAAGCCTGTGCTTGTTACATAAAAAGGACAGAGAGATTGTAATTGGAAAAGATAGAAGAAAGAACAAAAGCTTTTTGGAAGCTTTAGCATAGTAAAGTGCAGCGTTCACCGGTCGTTCTTATGCCTAATAAATTACTCTTCTTCTGACTTCGACAACTGAAGTTTCAAAATCAAGAATCTAATAACTCACCATTTACTAATAATTTTACAAGATACTTTCATTAATTAATTACATTTACAAGTTGACAATTCATTAAGAATGACGATCCTAGAATTTTATTTAGAGTTTTTATCACAAACGGTCCTGAGGTTCGCAAAATTATCAACTTTAGTCCTTTATGTTTTTTTTCTTATGATATTATTGGTTCTTTATGTTACACACCACACATCAATTTTCTGTTAAGTTGCTAATGTGATATATATGTGGAGCCCACACATCCAATAATATAGAGCCACATATTTTTAAATAAAAGATAATCATTTAAAACATAAAATCCATTTAAAAAAATAAGATTAAAACATCAAATTTTAAATTTATTAAATATAAAAGAGATATTTAGTGATATACCCATTCTTAGCACTAATAATATAAATAAACCCTATCATTGAATTTCTATAAACAAACCTAAAAAACACCCAAAAAATGACAGCTGACCCTATTAAATTTAAGTTTGATTATTAAATTACTTTGATATCCTATTGAGTATTTTGGGTTTTTTTTATGAGGTTTTGGAATTGGGCTTGTTTTAAGAAATTGATGGCAATTTTGTAATTTATAAGAAGTTAAAAGCCTCTTTGTTATGTTGTAAATGAGTTTTGAGTGTGTTTCTAAAGTCCATTTCATATAAGGTATTTTTATAATTTGGGCTCCTATATTGGGTATAATAGTGAATCTCCCAACATAAAATAAATAGGGTTAATGACCGAAATGGTCCCCCAACTATTGCTCCAGTATCGTTTTGGTCCACCAACTAAATTTTTCATTTCAATGGTACTTCAACTCTTCATTTGGTATCAAATTAGTCCTACCGTCAACGTTTGTCAATTTTGCCGTTAAATTCAGGGGCGATATCATCTTTTTAGGGCAGTACCCTCAAAACCAAACGAATTCCATATTAGTCTTCGTCTTCTTCTCTTTTTAGGGCAGTACCCTCAAAAACAAAACCAAACTATCTTAGACTGATGGGCTGTAGATTTCAACTGTCCCACTTGAGAGAAGACATGTTTAACGTCCAGATGGTTCAAAAATATTCCCAAAAAAACAAAAACAAAAACGCTTAGAATCTCTTGGAAACCTTTAAACAGATTGAACTTGTGAGGGTTTAGAGAGCGGTTTCCGGTTGTGTTATTCATTCCTTTCACCATCTGATTCAACAGATGAATCTCCAAGCAAGTTCCTTGAATTGGAAATCCCCGTTGATAGCGAAAACAAAGACAAAAAAAATGTGACAATTGAAACAGAAGTTGAAATTGAAAGAAAGAAAAAAAAATACCAAGTGTTAACGCTAAAAAATGGTTTGGTCCTTTCGGGCGCAACTTAGTAATTTTGGGACTTCGGTATCTTTAAGCCCTCGGTAGGGAGTGTTATCTGCAATACGAGAAAACACTCAGTAAGACCTTGGGCACCGGTGTGGTACAGGCCGAAGGCTCTCCGATGCTTCAGTAAGTTCGGATTTAGTAAATTAAACTGACAGATCAATAGGCTTGTATGCCGTTAGTTCTGATTACCTCCATTTTGGGATAGTTGGCCTCCTTTATAGGCCTTGGGAGGTGTGCACTATGTTGAGAATTTTGATGTGGGACTGTGGACGTCGATTGTGAGCATGCCACGTGTCCCAGAAGAGGGCGTTGCCCTAATGGATGGATCGGTAGGCCGGGTGCCGAAGGCAACTTTGACCGTGTGTTGGGTACCGAAGGCAACTTTGACCAGACTCGATTTTGTCCATGTGTTCCATTCTTATTGGCTGTTCATTTCGGTATAAACACCAAGTCTTAAAATTGTAAAGTATTGTGATTACCAAACGCTGAAAGCAGTGATAAAGAGGGGTTGCAATGATTTGAGGAGATGGTCTCCATAGTCTTTGAAAATGAGAAGAAGAAGAAAAGTTTGCATCAGATACTCTTTTACCAATATGACTGATTAGGGACAGTAGATTCCTCTGCCAACCCACCATGGCACCATTGCTTCAGCCCTTCAACCAAAAATAAGAATTCCCCAGCTGCAGCTACCAATATAAAAAACCCCAAATATAAATGAATAAATCAATAAATTACACGGATTAAAAAGGAAATAAAATGTGCCCAACATTGTATTTAGGTGAGACAATCGAAAACCATAGGCTTATTATCACAAAACGTCCTTGATGTTTGCGAAACTATCAGATTGCATCCTTAAAGTTTTTTTGTATCACTCGTGGTCCCTAACGTTAATATGAGTGCTCTTAAATAGTCCCTTTGTTAGAAAACTGTTAAATCTAGGGATATAATCGTCAAATCAATCATTTTGACCTCTTCAATGACTCATATCCGTTTGCCACCAATTTGGAACCATTTCCCTCCATTTCTTGTTGGAATTGCTAAAGGTAAGGGGTGAAAATGGAAGGGAATAACATAAACAAATTGAACTGTAAACAACACATGTTGAACAAATTGAATAAACTAACACATTCAACTACATTCAATTATATCATCAACCACGTTTAGTTCCATCACATTAACCCCTACATGACTTCCACGAAAAATCACTTCCAGACACTTTTGCCGAGAAGCTTTGCCGCAACAGTCATCGCTCCAAGCCTAAATCAATGGTTGCGATCTGCCCAATGGAGGCCGACGACGAATCTTCTGCGATCTGCCGGCATGCCGTCGTCGTGGCTAGAAGCATACTACGATCACACTTGCCGACGACTTGTCGTTTCAGTCTGAGCTCTGAAGCTTCTTTGCTACTCTGATTTGTACTCTGCAACACCAAAAAACAACAAAAAAGAAACAAAAATTAACTAAGAATTAATGCATTAGACGTTGGCAGTAAAACCCAATTCCCAGACCTACTAGTGCCACAAAATCCCTGTGTTATTTTATTACACTTGACGAATAAAGCCCAAAAGCAAAAAACAGAGAAAAAAGAAGAATTTGAGGACTCTGAAGCTTTTCAGGTGCTCTAGTGATTAGGACAAGCTTCTCCAAGTGATAGCAGAGCAAGTCACCTCCATGGTTGAGATCCATCTAGAAAAGATTGAGGTCAGTGACGTAGGCCTCGCTGCCATCTCCAATTGCTTGGATCTGGAGATTCTACACTTGGTCAAGACCCCTGAGTGCACAAATGTAGGTTTGGTCTCGATCTCCCAACGCTCATTTGCCTCATCCATCATCTCTCAGACACTTTTGCAGAAGCTTTACCGCCCAATTTCCCACGACTGAAAAACCCTATTTCTCAGAAAAAGCGTAGAAATGGGTCTGATGATGTTGATGATGACCACGAGGAAATATATTTGAAGCGTGAGAGGTAAAAGGGAGTTGACGATTATATCCCTCATAAAATTAGGGATTTAATGATTTTTTTAACAGAGGGACTATTTAAGAGCACTTATATTAACGTTAGGGACCATGAGTGATACAAAAAAAACTTTAAGGATGCAATCTGATAGTTTCGCAAACGTCATGGACGTTTTGTGATAATAAGCCAAAACCATATATATTACTCACCCTGGCTCGCTCAACTGCTCCTTTTCCAATAGTAGCAAGGGCCTCAATTACCTGGGTGTTGAAATCTAGCATACCATACAAGATTTGATTCAATAACAGAGCCAATTCTACAGGAACTTCAGTCGAAAGCTGAGGGGGAAGAGATAGAGAGAGGGGGAGGAGACAAAGAGAAAGGATGCTGGGGTGGGCTGTGATAGGTTGGGGTTGGTGGCTGTCGAATCATCAAAGAGGGAGAGGTTGGAATGCCCTGAAAAGACGGTTTTGCCCTTCAATTTCACAGAATAGTTGACAGACTTTGACTGTAGGAAGATTTTGATACCAAATTAAGAGTTGAAGGACCATTGAAATGAAAATTTTAATTGGCGGACCAAAATGATACTGGAGCAATAGTTGGGGGACCATTTTGGTCATTAAACCAAATAAATAATAATAATAAAACCTACATCCATCCCTCCACCCACACCCCCATCCCCATCCCCAACCGCAACCAACCCTTCCCCACCCTTATTCCCGAGCCTTACCCTCAACCCAACCGCAGTCCCACCTCCCCAACCCACTCTCTGCATCTCTCTCCCTCCTCTTCCTCCCTCTCCCTCTCTCTCTCTCTTCCCATCCCATTTTCGACATTCTTCAGCTTTCAGTACTCAACCCAACACATTGCGTTCCAATATTTTGTGAACAAAACCATGCTTGAAGGCTTTAACAACCCAAACTTTGAGTTACCCAATGAGTCTTTGCCCCTTAACAACAAAACCCAATTTTTTGAGAAATTTAATAAACTCATATTAGTAAATACAAAATAATTTCTTACCCAAAACCCAAGTTCATCGTTTTGTAAGTTCACTTGAACTAGAGGGAGAGGGTGGGGTTGGGCGGTGGAGATGGGGGTGATCGAGTTGTGGGCAAGGAAAAAAATAGAGAGAGAGGGCAGCGGGGGAGAGAGATGGAGCGGAATGAGGTGGATGAGAAGTTGCAGAGGGACCTGCAACTTTTTTTTTATAAAAAAACTATTTTTTAAAAACATTTTGTTTAGATTTTAAATATGAAACTATTTTTTAAATAAATTTTTTATTTAGATCCATGTGTCATTATCTCATTAGATATGTGGGTACCACATACATGCCACGTCATTATTTTAACAGAATTTTTGACAAAACCTAACGGCAAGACCAAATTGATGTGTCGAGGAGTAACATAAAGGACCAATAATGTCACAAAAAACATAAAGGACCAAAGCTGATAATTTCACGAACCTCAGGGAACATTTGTGATATAAAAAAAACATTTCATTTATTTAGTAACATTATGTGTTTTCACAATTCGAATAACCAAATAGTATGTTAATACGATGCTAATCACTTGTTTTGGCATATTACACCTTTTAATTTCATTTTTTGTATCACTCATTATTTTAGGTTTTTATTTAAAGATCA